TCAACGGCCCTCTGATCTGGAACAAACTTGAGTTCACCTGTTGATCGTTGGTGAGTTATAATTGTTCGGACGTGTCTATGCAGACAACCCGATTTTGCCTGTATGCGGTCAGATGACATTACGTAACTTTTACGCTGACAGCTCTTTATTGTCGATTCATTCTAGATAAAGAGCTATGGATTCAACAGCGTACATGAATTGAAACACAAATGAACTGAAGGTGTCATCTGTCATGGACTAGCTGAACAGATAACCAGTAACTTTTATCCTTGCATTGCTTCGGGATTGCACTCGAACACAGTGTCGAGTGGTTTTAATTGAAAGTGTACTAGTCTGAGTCACGGGAGGCTGTATGCCACGCGCTGATCCATGGTGCCATTGGATATGCAACATTGCAGCCAAGGTATCTGGCTTAACAACTACATATCTCTGGTAAACAGTGGGATTGCGCCTCTGGATTTTGTTAGACGTCGGCGGCATTTGCCCCGGATGTCCACTAATCACGATCTTTTACAGCACTGAATTATATCAGGCAGTAGATTTAGTTCCATATTCACCAAAATATCCTTGCTGCTTATAAATGTTTCGACAACAAACGCATTTTCTTGTGTCGCAAGGGTCACCGCTTGCAAATTTTTCAATTGCACTGCAGTACCGACTCCAATGAACTGTTTCACGCATGTTCTTTTCTCAAAATCACTATGACAAGTTTTGCAGTGACTGATTCCTTGCAATTGGAATTTTTCATCAAAATACTTAGCGGGATTGCAATATGCATCTCTTCGGATGTTTGAGTAGGCATCTTCTGAGTACATCGACACAGTTTTCGTACGCTATGCTCGCATTGTTGCTAGATGTGCCAATTGCAGAGTGCCTGTTATCGCTGCGATTAAAAGCCATCTGCATGCGCTGTAAGACGGCACAATATCAGTTCTATTTTTAGCATTTATATTTAACATTCCCTAATGGTTGTGGGACATTCACTGATCACGGGCGAAACATATCTGATAGTTGCGCTGCTCCAAAAACACGAATATTGCGAATTTGTGGTTGACCATTTACCGGTTGGCAGGTGAGTGGCCACCAACGAGCTTTCCTGTCAACGAATTATGCGGTACCTTCGTTAAGAATAAAGCAGTACTGCAGCTGAAAAGCCATCGGTGACTTAGAAGTCACGAAATTAAGATTAAGATATTAAGATAGTCTAATTGGAAACTTATTTCAAAGGACAAAAATGCGACCATTTTGGCAGCAAACCTGTTTAATTCTTCAGTGAAGCGAAAATCGATGAGCGACACAATCAAACTAAATTTACTGCCGACAATTTCGCACTAAGAAGCCACACTATTCCGGTCGCTGTCAGAATCAAAGAACATTGATTCCAACACACAATATGTTCTCCGCGGTAAGATATCCCTTCAGAATTTACCTACCAAACATCGGTACATTTTGTTAACCTCACTTCCCTGGTGACGACGTTATCGGCAGCGATAGACCCCTCGTGCGCGGTTTTGCAAAGAGCGGACAATTCACATCGCTGTGTATGTTCAGACAAGTAATCCAGAAATAGGACTGTATGGTGAAAAGCTCCTCACTGTGGGTACATTGTTTATTCCGAGTGGGTGCGGGCAATGTGGCTCTCGGTTGTGGAATTCGGCTTTTATTTTCGTGTAATATCACATGAGAACATGTTAGTCCCAACTATCGTTATTGTAAACGAAATCGCAGTCCGGCAGAAACGTGTAAAATTTGAGAGTCTCCAAAGACAAACCGTACAAAGAGACGGATTATAATTATTCACAGTCATCCGCAGATGTGAGACATACCTACCCCATGTTCGTCAGGCTACTGGCTACGTAGTGCTCACAAACGGGACCATTTATGCACAAACAGGGCAGACTAACTTCGAAAGTACTAGAGAAGGCCGTTTTAAAAAAAAATGAACGGCCGTCCTGGATAACATACCCACTGTTCAAAGTACCCTAGGTAAGTACTTCAAAGAGTGTAGCGGCAGCTGCTACTTGATATTGTGACAGTAGGGAATTGACAGATGATGTCTTGTATTTTCCTAGCTTAAAAAAACCGTTCAACTGTAGCTCCATTTCGGTGCCTACCCGCCATGCAACCAGAGGAAGCACGAAGCTGAAATACCAGTAGGGAATTGACAGATGATGTCTTGTATTTTCCTAGCTTAAAAAAACCGTTCAACTGTAGCTCCATTTCGGTGCCTACCCGCCATGCAACCAGAGGAAGCACGAAGGCTGAGATACTGTCAGGTTGCCCAAGCCTAGACACGGAAAGTCGAGAGGCAGAGGTCCTGTTCGAATCACGGATCTTGCGGTCCGTATATTCACGCTATAACCACTGAGCCATCTCACCCCCTGTAAGAAAAATATATATCCACTATTAAGATGCATCCCAACAAGAGGATCCTAAGGTTGGTTTTTATGATCCAATGGTCGACGACAGAACTATCAGGATCACCTTATCAGTTGATACGCCTAGTTTCCAGCCCAGTAAACCCAGTGCGTGGTCAGTACAAATGCCATTAATGTGTTTGCCAAGTATTATCCTATTTTTCGTAGTTCGCATCTAGGAGTTTTCTGGTCAATTATATCATATGTAGCATACCAGTTTCTCACATGTTCGTTCTGGGGCCAGGGCTTCCGGAAGTAATACACGTTTTTGCTTATCTACAAGTAAATGTTTGAGCCACTATAAAAATTGGAATCTCCTGGTATGAAAATATCAGTATTGTTGTCCTTTGAATGCTGGCACTTTAAGGTGGTATCCAGGATAACGTGAGATGTGTAAGGGACGCCGCAGTTTAATTTAATACATCGGAAGCGAAGTGGTCGTCTACCTGATAGGACGGATACCTGTCTCGCCAGATACAGAAACTGACGAAGCCTAGCATATGGGGCTTCTTGCATTCTCTGGGGGAGTCCACTCCTCGAAGAAGGGGTCATTCTCGATAGACCGTCGTCCTATTGATGGTGAAGCCAAGACCTCACGAATCTAGTCGGTACATACCAGAACTTTTCTTGGGCTTGTGTTGTGAAAACAGCGGAAACTTGGTGATCGTGCTGCACTTGTTTAGGAAACGTTGCTGATTTGGCCTGTGAAAAAAAAGCTCAAACAAGACACTTTGTTGATAGGACTCACGCGGAAAGACAAATGTCAAATAATGAGTGATGCTGCCTCAAGCTGTGAAGCCACCAACAATAAGGTATGACGGCTAGTGAGAATGGATGATTTATATGCAAGACCGCTGGTTTGCTTGCCGTAACTGCGAAAGACATGTCCCCGGTATAAACCAAACCGTTACTTTTGGCAGCAAAGTGCAAGAGGATTAAATTTATATGACGCAAGGTTGTTAGATTCTAGGTACGTATGACCACTCGAAGGTTGCACGTCTGATTCTACCATCAATACGATGGGTAAATGTGACGATATACCTGCCCTGGGGTCGAAATTGCGCCGCCTTTCCTGAAAGAGACCATTGTGAATCAAGTTTCATGAGCATTTTGAGGGGAAATGTGATGCTATCGTCGATCGGACCAAGATGTAACTATCGTGTTGTTTGGAAATGGATTACACAGAACTCGGACATCGAGACACGGAGTTAGCAGTTGCCTCTTTGGGTAGGGCACATCAAAGAGATGGTGTAGCTAAACAATACTGAGCTCTTTTACAAGAGTAACTGCGTTAGACGCATTGGCGATCCTCACAAAGAACTACCTGAGGTGATAAATTCATGTCAGCCAGATATTTTTGGTAGAAAGGGGCCTTGTACCCCATTATGACCATTTAGACGGGTGAACCTCAAAGATGGTAGACTTCTGGTCCCAAAGTGGAAATCCCCGTATTCATCGACTGTGCCTGGTACCGATTGTCACGTTAAACGATTGGTATTGCAAAAATCTTTGATTTGCTATCTCCCCACATTCATGTTGATCAAAAGCTGGACTGGATGAGCTGACGCACAACACATATTTTTTCACTTCAAAGTGATCAGAAGTTTTGTCATTTAAATACAATCTCGTGGTGATCTACATCGTCCCGAGTTCATATCAATTTAGTTGGGCAGAAAAGATGTATTTCATCAGCAAGGACTCAGAAAATGCGAACTGACGACAGATACACAATTTAACTTCGTTGCGCTAGTATCTCAGTTACAGGTACGGAGATATGTGAAACAAAGATCTCCGGAAAAGGGGCCTTTCGCCACAGATTCACAAGCGCCGTTTCGTAAGCTCGAGCACAAATAGAATTTCGCCATTTCGGCACAGGATTCGAGTGATACACTTCGTCCTACCCACCGCCACAGCCACGAAGAAACATTCCCACTGGACAGACATCTTGTTGTCTCTCTCAGAGATGTACCACTCTCACTTTTTCCATTGACTAAGACTGATTTGATTTTATGTGAAATTTCCATGATAATCTGGTAAGGCATGCAGATGACGCACTAAATCGAGTGCCACAAAAAGGAGCAATATGTTGAAATATTGGTAGCCCGGGTGAGTATATCGATTGTTGATCAGGTAGCTGTTGATTTGTTCGCCGAGCTTGGCACTTGGCTTGGAAACGTTTCGTCACCATACGAGGAGACGTCATCAGTGCGCAGTCCGGTGGGACCCACCCAACTGCTCACTGATAGTGTCTCCTCGTATGGTGACGAAACGTTTCCAAGCCAAGTGCCAAGCTCGCCGAACAGATCAATCGCTAAAAAAGGAGCAAGTTACTTCATACTTGTCTTATAGTCACATATGCACCCCATTCGCGGTTCTCCGAAATGTTCCACACATGATTATCCGAATGGAAACTAACCATGGCTCATAGGCTTCAGTGAGTTCGAATTTACATGTTATCACTTGACAGTCGAAATCAATGTTTACTGCTGCTAGCGGAATGAAGTCTCAATAAGGACCTTCATGAGACCGTCAAACAAACTAGTTATGAAAACCAGATTCTACGTCGAACAGAATCAGGGTCAGCTGGTAACAGAAATTTATCATACAATAAATGGGGAATACAATTGGGTAAATCCATCCGGTTTTACGCAGGGGGACAAAAATGCAATATACAAGAGCGTAATCGCAGAATGGTGGCCTTAAAAGTTAAAGGTCCGGTAAACTCTAGCTTTGAAAACTAGCTTCTGCTTCGGCGTCTATCACGTTCTTGTCTCTCGCGGGCACGTTTCAAATCTCGCTCGAACGAACTTTCTCGTCCGCGTGGGGAATTTGACCGTCGACGTTCATGAGATCGAGAGCGGGATCTGCGTCCATGATGCCGATGACGTTCACGATCACTGAAAAGAGGGAGATATTTAGACATGTAGAAACGTCTATACCATCATTCGAAGAAATTGTGAGGAGCTGCAAACGGCAATGAACCAATGCAAATGAGCCATGAACTTTAAGAATCCTGATAGAGGGTGAACCAGCTCAGATGAAGAAAACACGGCTAACAAATACAATACATTGAAACTGCTCCTTCTGTAATGAATTGATAGTAAATACACTCAAAAATAATGAACACATGTTTCGATCAATGGTTGTTTATCGATTTAGGGGAATCCATTTTGTATTTGTCGGATTCCTATAACTGCACGAAGAGTCTCAATCGAACTTACAACCCCGAGGTGTGATCTTGACACTATTATAGCTGGAAACAAGAGAACTATGGGAGAATTAAACGCTCTATTCACAGTAGAAACGTTTGGTGTATGACGTACACTTCAATTTGCCGAAGAAAAGAAAAAAGAAGCTAAACACAAGCATCGTATGCCAAATCAGACAGATGATTACCTTTGTTGTTCGGCAAATCTCACCTAGTCCTGCACCTGTAAGATGGAATCGGTATGCTCACATTATTGAAGAACCCGATGATACAATCTCGATATGAATTCCTTGATTCGACCATTGTGCAGCCTTGATCAATGTAATCGCCAAAAGGAAACATTATGTGAATATCATATTTGAATTTGATGGTACCAGAGGACGGTCAAGTCCATTTTGGTTAGGGGACTGGTGGGATACAGGTCATCAAAGGAAAAAAATCGAAATGAACGCAAGTTGTTTATCTTTATCCCTTCCTCGAAGAGCAGTGTGTTCCCTCAGTTTATGGAAACTGGCTTCAAGTAATCGAAACACTGGTCTAAGTAATACCGAAAGGCTGTATCTGACACACTGTTCCGATCAGCCATCATTTCGATGCACACTCAATGCTATTTCAAGGATGTATACGGTGCGAACTGGTGGTGAATAGGTTCGATATGGAACAGAGGTCTAACCGTCGAGCCCATTTATATGGAACAGAGTAGAATAGAAATAGAAAGAAAGATATTGATCACACAGGGTTTTTACGTTATACGTAAGAGACATTCATAGGAAAGGTTTAAAAATGAGAAAAAAATGTACACACGAGACCCTTACACCAACCATGAATGGAAAACACTCGAACTTTTAAATATGATAAGGACACACAAATAGTTGAAGCGGGAAGTTGGGATCTCTTCGAGGAGAAAGAATAGTACGTGACAAAATGATTCATTACTCCCTGATTCGGTCATAATCTGCCTGAAAAGTGCTCCGATGACCCCGGAATTAAAAACGTTCGTGAACACCGACCAACGGCAAAACTGGCTTTAGAATCAATCTTCATCACTAGTTCGTAAGAATCATTTCGGTGCCTAGCTGCCACACCACCTGAAGGAAGTATGAGGGCATAGATAACGCCAGTTTGCCAAAGCATAGACGTAAGCATACGTCTACGCTTTGGCAAGCTGGCGTTATCTATGCCCTCATACTTCCTTCAGGTGGTGTGGCAGCTAGGCACCAAAATGTTGAGGCTGCATTCGGACCACGGACCTCCGAACAGTAAGCTAGTGTCTTAATCACTGAGCTCTATGGACTTCTTACAACAGGCTAGAAGCTCAGATGTCGTTGTGATCGCTGGGAACAAGAACGCGCATGTTAGTAGGTTTGGTTGTGTGTTCGTCTGTAAACAGACAAGGGTCACGTGGACAGCGGAGTGTCCACTTCAGCCATGTGCTGACTACAGATTGCCCGTTTGCATCACCAACTTTTGGAACAACGGAAATCAGTTTTTCCAAAAATTCACGAGGCAGCTTTGACTGAAAAACCTTGTGTGATGTTGATAACAACGTCCTTTTGAGTGAATGCCGATGTGTTGGATTACCTAGTATAAGGTTAGCCTGGAATCCGACAATGGCTACCTTCGGTGCATAGAAGGCAATTGGTGGATGTTGGGGGGATCTACTCTAATGTATAGCATCAGTTTTTTCTAACAATTATGCTTTTGGATTTCACGTATTATATATAAAATGGGGAGTGATGGTGCCGTAGACTATGCGCTTAAGAGTGGTGAGCCGAACTTTAACGAACCACTGGCCCACAAAAAGTACAGAAATTCCCTTACGAGTGGAGCGTGTGTTTTACTCAGTCGACATTCACACTTCAGTGCGGTTATCACGCGAAGCACAAGTTTCCAATGGTATGTACATCACCGAGTTCCCATATCTCATGAGACTATCAAAGTCGAATTTCGTCCATGACGGTGTGCTACTATGAGTAGCACACTATGAATAGCATGCGCCTTTTGAAGAGGTCTATTTTGGAGGAAACACTGTAGCACTTATGCTCAAAATAACATTTGCGGGCCTCAACTATTTGGAAAGTAAACCTGTGTGTAATTACATCAGTCATGTGTACACTTCATGTCTGGATGTAAAAAAGCGCAAACCATCCTGGTCTTTGTTGGGATGGAATATTGCTCCTGGGGACCGGTTAGAGTTAGTCTTTGTTTGAGGTAAATTTGGGAGTGAGTAGCTTCTAAAAACATATTGACTTCAAACGAAATCCTATGGGTGTCTGAATGGAATGCACCTACGTAGGAGTGGCTTCTCGGGGTGGGCTTATCTGAGGGACAACTGGCTACGGAGTAGCTCACCCGCTTTGGTAACTGATCCCTACTAGTCACTCGTTTCTTCGAGGATAATACTGCTTGTTTTGGTAAGGAATCCTCACATAATAAAGAAACAGATCCTCAAAGTGACGGCTACGATGCAGTAGTTTTAGTTTGTTACGACCCTAAAATATGATTTCAATATGTACAGAAGGAATACCCATTAGAATGCCTGCGTAATATGAGAAGATTCTGGAATCTGTAATGGAGATTTCGTCCTGTAGATGAAGCCAATCTATGCTGAACGTCCGGGAAACACTGTACAGTTGTTTCATCCTTATTGGGAATCATCAGTAATGAACATCTCAAGAAACTCCAGGGAGTTCGAACACTTGATCGCATAGATTGGTTTGACTTACAAAATGAAGTGCCCGTTAAAAATTCTAAAATGTCCTCAGACTACCAACAATCTACAAGTAGATCAGAGGAGTGAAAATTCCATCTGAGATACCGCTACTCGAGGAGCCAATCAACTTACGTAACCGGGTGAGGTAGGTCCCGTGAATGCGTGGCGCTATACGTTGTTCAGTGCGAGCTAATCACATTGATCAGCTGATCAGTGTTAGGCTATGGCCAAAAGATCGCAGGTTCGGAATTCCCGGAGTTTCGTGAGATGTGCAGTGCTGATGACTCCCGACAAGGATGAAACAGCTGCACAATGCTTCTCGCTTTTCAGCATAGAATGCGAACTGACTCTGTCTTCGGTACAGATAGTCTCCTGGGGGCACTTTCCAGCCTAGAACATTTAGGTTATTCCTTGTAGTCGGTCTTTGTTCGATAGGGCTAATGAATGCACACGTGTCTCAAAAGTGAAAGTAATTCAGTGGATTGTATTCAAAACGCCGTACTATCCTTTTGCTCTGTAATTTAAAAATCAGTGCCAGAGCAAATAACCCTAGATAGTCTGGTAAAATGGTCAGAAATGCAACCCATTATCTTGTAACCACATTGTGGGGTAGTTTTAAAAGTGCTATCTACAAGAAGGAATTATGACCTACCTGTGTTTGCTTTTGTGAGAATGTCCATGCTTCTTATGGTTACTCGTGTCCATCTCACGAACACTTTGACTGATAACCTTATGAGCCGTGGGAGCTATTGGACCTTGCAGCGTTGGAGCTGGACCATGAGCACGCAACTTCTCCTCGAGCTTTTTCTGCACGGGAACGGGAATACGAGGGAACAGTGTTCCAAACCAGTCTAACTTGGTGAGCCAATGCTGGATCATTGAGCCGATAGTCATCATACTCCCACCACCGGCTTTGACGTCTATTTCCTTTAAATGGAAAATTGAGAGGGAAATTGTTAGGCAAAGAACTCTTCCAGGTACGAACAAAGCAACCGCCTAAACTCTTACGCGCATCCGAACAGCGATTGAATTTCGCGCGAAACCACGTTGCCGTCCCAGTGGGATTGTTCAGAACGAAAAGAAGGGTGAGTAATCGGACTGGCTTACCTCTGTATCATCCAGATACGGTGCGTACCACCACCAAAAGTCCTCTGGAGGTAAACAATATCTAAGAAGGATAAATAGCCGAAAGAACAGAAGCACCTTATGTACATGAAACCGAGGGCACGGATGTAGGGGGAATCAGGATGGTCTAGTAAGCCTTTCAATTGTTTTCGAGTGAGTTTGAGCGTGAAGAGCTTATACAGGAGGCAGAAGGCTGTGGACACAATTCCTCCAGCACCAACTCCGCGGACTCCTCCGCACATACCGGACTGTCCACCAACTCTACGGCTACCCCGTTCCCATGGTTCCAAATGTTCGACCTGGAAAATCAACCAAAAACAACCAATCACACCATACTTTGTAATATATTTCGTCAATCACTTCGTGATATGTCCTCAATTCGATCAGGTTAGCTTTGAAGTAGGGGGACTGTACGATATTGGTGTACACCATAGTGTTGAGATTCATGGTTTGTTGGTTACCCCACAGTTTCAGTGTATTTCCTCGAGGGGCTTGATCTTCTCCTTCCTCGACCATGGCGAGAATACCCGAATCTTGGTTTATAAAAGGCACGGCCATGGTTGAATTTAACACAGTCGAGTTCTGAATGCGATCAAGTTAAGCTAAAGGGAGAAGAACACAATAGTAAGAGTATTCGTGGAATCAGATAAACCTAGTTCCGGATTCCAAGCAGAGGCGAGTGCAAAAATTCTGACTGGACTGACACAAAGACAAACCGAAAGCGGGCTCGCCAATAACTGAAATTGTTGCGACTAGATTTCTGAGCTTTGACATAAGCAACTGCTTTAGATTTTTTCACTCGGCTGACCACCGATCCTTCCTTGATACAACCAGGTGTCTCCCAGGGGATCATTTGGATTGCCCAGCTATATTATGTATACATATATATGTATGTATATGATAAATTTCTTACTTAAAATCTCATTCACCACTTATGATGGGCTCGTGCTTTGCAGCGGGTTCGCTAATTGCACCTGTTCCATGACGTGTTTTTACTAAGGAATCAGACAGAACCAGAATCAAAAGATGTATGGCTGAAGTTATAAGCAAGTCATCTAGTTCAATTTCAGAAACCTCATATGTGAATAGTTGGGGTGCACCCGCATTTATCAGACACATACAGTTATTTTTCTACCCAAAATGTATAGGTGTGGTTGCGTATAACACACTCGAGAGTCCATTCCAAGGTTGATGCCATGCACGATGATATGTAAACACTACCATAATGCGACCAAATACGCTTACATTTTCTCGAAGTGCTAGACAAGGATTAATATGCAGATGAGGGTGTCCTAGTTCGAGATGATGCTCTAATGCGTTTATACGAGTGGTTCCCAATAGTGTAGGCAACTGGTTCTTCTCCTCAGGGACATAAAGGTTCTCCGAATTAACTCCCTACCCTTCCACTCTCTCTTTCCATACGTTAACAAGGTTATCTTCCACCAACGTTGTATGGCAGTTGAAAACCCATACTTATGCTTGTGTTCGCTCTTCGTATTCAAAGATGAGGACAACGTTGCCTGTGTACCGCGAACCGACAAGTTTCTCACCAGTAACGAATTGAACACCCGTATATTAGACATTCCGGCGATCGCCTCGTGATTCCATCCACGACGGAAGTGAACAAGACGGGAAGAGAGCAAGCATCCAAGCTAGATGTCATGACTTTTGTCTGCTTATTATTATACTTACCCCATATACTGGTATTGAGCCTTTGCCTGTACATTTCAGTTCCTTCATGCCTCTTTTTAGGCAAGTGAAACGTTGTTTATCCTCGATAACTCAGTCTCTCTTCTAACTCGTTCTCGAACACATTCTAAACGTCTCATTAGACACCTTTTGTGAAGAAGCTCGTAGACAAGTCAACAGACATGGTCATCAGCATCAGTAAAAAGATAAGTACTTGCTGTACAGTGGTTATAGCTGCCCAATTTACATTTACCGATAATCTGGGGAGGTGGGGTAAATGGCCGCGCATCGTAAGCGGTAGCTGATCTAATTGATGCGTAAATACAGGGTTGTCAGTGGACATTTAGTTGGCATGAGTGCAAGGAGGAGGGGAGCTATGCACTGCGGTCAAATGCTTGGATGAACTAGAGCCATTAAGGAAGCGACTGGTCCATGTCTGATAATGTCTATAGTCATTGATGTGGCCCGTCCAGGGAGACGTTAAGACCAGCGCAGCTGAGTTTGCAGGTAATGGGTTTCATACTCCGCTGCCAAGTGGAGTGACCTCCCCTTGTTGTTTGCACCGTGTTTGTGCGAAAAGAGCGCTTCGAGGAAGTCGATCGAATGGCATACGGAGCACGTGAACGAGCCACCGCAACCTATGAAGTGTAGTTAATTCACCTATCGTGGGCGAGTTATTTCTTCTGAAAACTGTTCGATGTACTTCAGCATTACTGAACCGGTTTCCTCACTGAACTCAGAAAAAGCTCCAAAGATGCTGACGTTTAAACGAGGAAAGTCTTTTCATGTCCACGGCGCGCAGCGATCAGGCTTCTGACCCGTATAATATGTAGCGCACAGCAGCATTGTAAACTCGACACTTGACACTTGTACACTCGACACTTGTCACACCTACACCACAGGTGATGCAGGTTCACAGAAGCGGCTCTGGCCTTCCTAATCCGGACGAAAATATTACCTTTCGCTGCCCAGATAAACAAATTTGTCCACTAGATCAGTGGGCTAATCGCGAGGGTATGAGCCCTTCGAGTCTTGCAGCAGCACTTTACACTTTGCAGTTGTGAACCGTATGAGGGAGAATCAGTCAGGTTATTTAATATTGTTTGCGTTACGACGGTGTCAGATCCAAGAAGAGCTATGTCTTCTGCATACTCGATATCTGTGAGCGGACGCCCCGGGAGCACTTTGACCCCACAAGCACTAGAGGGTAGTAATGAGTCATCAATAAAAGCAGCACTGACGGAGTTGACGAGGAGGGGTGATGCGGTGACCTCAGACAACAGCTTCCCATAGACCTTCTCATTCAGCCGTTCAGCTGTAGCACCCTAACGGTGCCTAGCTGCCATGCCACCCGAAAGAGGCACGAGGCCTGGGATACTGCCAGGTTGCCCAAGCCTAGACAGGGGAAGTCGATAGGAAGAGGTCGGGTTCGAACTACGGACCTCCTGGTCAATAAATTCGCGCTCTAATTACTTGGGCCATCTCGCCCCAGTCAACCTTTGGAGGATAAGACCAGGAGCACCATTGGTGCCACAGCCACCACAGTGGTTTTCACAAAGCACAGCGGCAAGATAGCTCAGTGGTTAGGGCGCGAACTTACTGACCGGAACGTCCGTGGTTCGACTACTGCATCTTGACTGCCTCTGTAAAAGCTTGGGTAACCTGGCAGTATCTAAGCCTTTATGCTCCCTTCAAATGGCATGACAGCTAGACACCGAGAGGGTGTTACAGCTAAACGACTGTTTACAGAGCGCCCACGTATCTCTGCCTGTTCCATTCTGCAGGCACTTTTCCTTTACTCCATTTCGCACCAATGAGCTTTGCTGGATGAGTCGCCAGGAATCCCCCGCCTTCTGTGAACAGGGGTGGATACAGACCATCCGGTCCTGGTGCCTTCGCACGTTTCAGTATGAATATTTCGTAATTTGTCTTCTAACGGGCGATTAAGGTTTGCATTTCATTCGCCCGTATGCACTATTTCCAGACTGTGTTGCAGGAGGCCAGCTAAATCGCTGATCGAAGTGTTCGACCCATCTTTCCAGTCGACGTTTTTGCGAGTGAATTAACGAGCCATTTGTTTCACTTATTGTTTCACTGTCCGTTGCTTTCCTAGGACCAATAACTCGTATCAGTTGATACAGGGCACCGCTATTTTCGTTAGCAGAAGCCATTTTCCAGAGCCTTCTATATCGGTTCTTCCACGAGCTAACGCTGTCACCTTGATGTTCGTTAGGGTTGTGTGATGAAATGATTCTGCGGGCTAGACTGGCTCAAATTCAGCTCCACATGGCCAAAGGGGAGCAGTCAGACCAAGCGCAGCGAGACTTCGTACTAAAAAAAAATCGTTCAGCTGTAGCACCCTTCCGGTGCCTAACTGCCATGCCACCCGAAGGTTGCACGAGGGCTGGGATATGGTCAGGTTGCCCAGGCCTAGACAGGGGAAGTCGAGAGGCAGAGGGCGGGTTCGAACCGCGGGCTTCGTACTACGAATAATCGTGCTACGAAGCGGTCTGGGGAGTACAATCGTACTGTTCTCTGCGATAGTAGTGTGAAGCCGGCAAGGTGTTCCCCGCAAGCGACCAGCATGTCCATATTCACGGAAGCAGCGATGCTGCGTTTCCCCGAGGAAGGACGGGCTAGAAAAGGTCGGCCCTAAAAACCGCACAATCCGATTGCTAAACGGTTGACCATGATCACCGGTGCATTATTCAATATGGTCGAAATACTTTTAAAACCAAGGAGTCTGGTGCTGCTCAAAAGGAACCTACTGTGTACAGCCGCATCAAAAGTGAGACAGTAATGCCTAACTCCCTGCTCCCTCGGACAAGTTCAACCCCCTGCAGCCCAGCAAGTTAGACTTTTGAATCAGAGGCTAGAAGCGGGGTCCCAGAATAAAACCGTACACCCTCACACTACCTGGTGGGTCAGACTTTTGAGTCAAAGGCTCAAGATGCAAGGCCTCAAATGAACCCCCTTCGAGGGGATGGGCAATCGGCAAGTATCATTTGCCCACACAGCTCTTTGTCTCTCCCCAACCCCTTCCTACCACACGAGAAAACGTTGCTGACCGATGACCCTTATGAACACCGCCGCCTATTAACAACAATAGCTCACTCAGCTCAGTTATTTGGGACTTTCTCCTGATTAGACGCAAATGGGCCAGACAGACACTAGCCGAGAAAGACACTGTCGTTCGCGAGCGCAGCAGGTGAAAGTTCATCGTGGAGGCGAGATGGCTCAAGTGGTTAGCGCGCGAATTTACTGACCGGAAAGTTCGCGCGAATTTACTGACCTCTGCCTCTCGACTTCCCCTGTCTAGGCTTGGGCAACTTGACAGTATCCCAGCCCTCGTGCTTCCCTCGGGTTGCATGGCAGCTAGGCGTCGAAAGGGCACTACAGCTGAACGATTATTATCCTTATTACTATTATTATTAAGTTCACCGTGACCACGGGTACAATAAGCTTCAAAAATAGAAATACACTAAAGTACTGGTCCTGAAGAGGGCATCGTGTCCATAGCCTATGTTTGTCAAAGACTGAAAGTACGGATTGGAAGTAGTACGTGGCCAGCCAGATTCTGCCAAACAGACCAAACGTACCTCTTTGTTGGATATCCGACAGCCAGTCATCCTTAGTAACTTCACTCACAAGAGGCTTCCGACAACCTGTTGAACGAATCAAATCGGAGAATCTGAAGAGTTCAGGCAATTTTCGCTTCTTCCGTTTTATCAGGCTTTCGGACCCACCAGGCTTCCCAGGCTGCACAGACACAGTTTCAATTAGCGTCGGACGATGAGCGAGGTTGAGTTGTGGGTGCGACCAGGAGTCTGTCGCTGGACGTTCAGCAAAGCAACGGTCCTATCAGATATACAATGCTTGAATGATGTTGGTTAGTTGTACCCATACGGAAATCGCAGCACTGAGCAAAGTCTTCGACATCTATCTTAGTGATTGTTGTCATCCAAAATTAGACCAACACACATGTGGTGGAGGAGCCGGTTCCGATAGGTTTGCTTGATTTCTGGGTTCAAGAGCTTTTCGAAGTCTACGCGAGGTGTGCGCGTTTTGCGTGTACCTAGAGAGCCCGACCTAAAGCTGCCACCTTGACGTGGTGGTCGGGCTTCAGTGCTGCAATGATCCCGCGGGCTACACTGGCTGGAACTTCGTTCCACAAGG